CTTCAGGGCCCTTCCCTCCCTTTTGGCACTAGTTTACCGAAAGGTGGTGGGTCTGTAACCCTGGTGGAGGAGGTGGAGTGAAGGTCTTTGCAGGCTCCTTTGTAGACCTTACTTTTCCCTTTACCCAGGGACACCACAACCTTGGTTCAGGGAAGAATGGTAGAAGTTCCACCAAACTCTTCAATCCAGCTTTGCCACACACAAAAAGCTCCCCCCACTCCAACAAAATGACATTTTGATGTCAACACTCACCCACCCATCCCCTGCAAAACAATGCTCCTGGTCCCCCAATGAGGTGGGATAATGTTAGAAATGCTGGAGGAGAGAAGCTGATTTGGATGTTCTCTATCTCTTTAGATACATTCCTTCACATGTGAACCCTAGAAGTAATAGCTCTGGGTGTGCTATAGTCTTGGGTTGCTTTGTTTTTGTTTTGCTTGTTTTTGTTTTTTGAAATTAGGTTTTAAAGCTACAGAAGGGGTCCATTTTTTTTCCAAGATAAAATAAAATAAAGCTCTACATCTTAGATAAAACTAAGATGCTTTATTTCCCAGCAGCTTCAGATGGCTCGTTTCACTCATTTGCACACCAGAGAGGTAGCACCTGTAGCAGAAAAAGCATGAGCTTTGACATCAGAAAGACCTGGGTTCGATACTGAGGGGTACATCTGATACATAAAAAAGAAATGAAAAAATTGGAAAATCAATACTCTGCTAACCTCAACATAGTAAGTGATTCAAACACAATGGAAAAGGGTGCCTTCACATTGGAAAACACGGCAGTCACACCTTAACCAAGTGATCAAACTTTATATCAGCAATACCAGGACGACCTGACACCGTTGCCTCCTGAGGTGACTCAATGGGAGCACACACCATCACCCATGGAGTGTTTTTGGCAAAAATGTTCAGCCTGAGTCCAATCCCAAAGAAACAAATCAGACAAATTCAGATTATAGGGACATTTTACAAAGCATGAGCCTGGACGAGCCAAAATTGTCCACTTCCTGAAAGATAATAAAAAAAAAGTTATTGAAATGACTGGGAAAATTTAAGTAGGGCATTTATATCAGATCATACTAGTGTATGAACGTTAAGGACCTTGGGGGTATGAATGCCATCATAGTTAGGCAGGAGAATGCCCTATGGGTGAAACCAGGTAAGTTAGAGTTCTTTACACTTTCTTTCAACTTTTCTGTAGGTTTGAAAATTTCAAATTAAAAGGTGGGAGAACAAAAGGGGGGCGGGATTTAGCTTTATTAACTGCGTGAAGTGAATGGCCTAACTTTTACTCAGTCTTACAGTCATGGTGGCTCCATAATCCTTGAGCGTATTGGTGAATGTGGGCCATAGTGTAAGGAATTAAGGCAAAAGCTGCTCTGCTCTCCTTCAGC